CTTTTTTACTCGAGGCACCGTATAGCCGAGCGGCATTCAAAACCAGGGTCAGGACTCTGTGCAGAACTCCCATTGGGGAAGCACGTACCAGCCCGGAGAACTTCATTAAGGGCTCTGGCACCGCATCCAGACTACCACGGATCTCCGCCCCACCACGCACCTGGCATGCGGGGGCGTTGTGCGAGTGCGACCAGCTGCACCCGGCCCGCTCGCTAGCCGCCTGGTCCTGGTCTTGAATGCCTCTCGGCTCTTTTGCGGCAACCGCCGTGGTGAGTAGGCAACCAACCACACGTCGCAGCTACGCAGGCTATGGGCCGCTATTGCCAACGGGGAAATCCGCCTTTTCTGGCGTGTCCATGCCCTTTGTCTCAAGGTGGTGACTTGAACTTGCGATTGTCGCAACCCGGGAGCGTTGCCGAGCACGAGCACCGGGAAAACTACACGAGCTCTGCGCAGCATGGCCGGATCAAGGCTGAGCCCAACGCCGACGGCACCTACAGTGTCCATCGACAATTGCGTGGATTTCCTGGACGTACGTGCGTCAGTCACTATTCGTGGCCCAGGGTGGCGTGCCCCACGACTAAATGAGGCTCACATGTTTGTAGGACGACCTTGCTGAGGCCATCGCTCAAGAAATCTACTGGGCGGCTCGCAGGCGGGAGCTAGAAAGCTCACTGTTTTACCTCCGCGACTATAAACGTGAGTTGGTTGATGTTGGCACTACAGTAAGCACTAGTGCGACTCGGGGTTTTGAAGCCGTTCCGACTCTTCATTCCAAGTGAAAAAGAAGGGGATGCGATTTCTACGCCGTGAGATGGTGCTTAGTAGCAAGGCCCTTTATGCGGAATGCCCTTATGTGACCAAACTTAAATTTGCTTACAGAGAGTGTATCGCGGAGGACTTCTCCGAGCCCTGTCCCGCTGCCTCCTTTGCGGGAAGCGAGGGACCCAGATCTCCCCTCGCGACTGTCGCGGCCTACAGCGCGACGGGCACCGCCTGTCTACCGTGCCCTGCGCGAGGACAGAGGCGTGCCACCTGTGGGAAATAAGCGGCGCAAGTCCACCACGAAGTCAAGCGCCACCGGAAGCAGCGTCATGCCCAAGAAGCTCAAGCCCAACCAGGTGGTGCCTGCGCCTCGCCGCTGGCGATAAAGTGCGAGAAGTGAAGATAGAGGGTGAGAATGCAGTGCCCCTTGAGGCCCATGTGGCCTTCCTGTCCTTCCCTGTTACTCCCCACGGTCTTGGGAAGGAGTAGAAGCCGCAGTGTCCAACTCCCTTCCCTCTCTCGCCTTGCTGGTTAGCGCATGGTTCGCGGCCGGCAAACAGGCTCTCAACAGACCGGACTTGAATGCGGTGGCTGTTCGCGTGCCTGGGCGATGCACCTGTTGAGATGCATTGACAGTCACTATCGGAGTGACAGGAGCGGCGTCATTTCCCAAAACAAAACACTCCGTGGAAAAGCCAAACATCACTCTGACATGAAGAGTCGTTTCAATGCTGTGGCTCTTTCGCACCAATACGGGACACACCATGAGTGCGAGAGGAACACACGAAAACGATTCTTGGAATCAGTCTTCTGGTGCTTGTTTGGCCACCGCCCCACAGTGGGTCAGAACCCCTATTTCCGTGATCATAGGGTCAAAATTCAAAGTGACTTTGGACCCCATCCAACACCGATTCTCCACTCCAAAATGTCCACTGAACCCAAATCAAGCGTCGGTTCGGCGATAGGACGCATCGTATTTGAATGGCAGGGCTGCAAAGTCAGAATTTGTATCTATATTTTCATGATTTGGGGTAAATCGCACATTATCGCTTCCTCCCAGTTTGGATGCAAACCAATCCCGGTAACCTGCATCCCAGCACGGAACTTTAATTAATACTGTGTAGAAAAGTGCCGTGAGTGAACCGGACCCGAACTTCGTCCGTCTAAGGGTTCTACAGACAACGCTTCTAAGCAAAATATTGCCCAAAATGCCCAAATTCGACTTAAATTGGAGGAAAAGTTATGTTACCCCCCTTTACCCCCCGACCATTTCAACTGGGATTGGTAGGTGGATGCTGTAGATACTACGGGCAACCGGCCATTCAACCGCACTTAGCCGCAATTTTTTTTTGCATCGATTTATGAAAATATTAGCATTTTCTATAAATAATTGGTTTTTGACGGTCATGTGTTTTTGCTACCCAATCGGCTTCAGCGCCTTCCCGCATCTGATTTATGTTGCTTCGTGTTGTTCAAACGTGTTTGAATGTGTCCATACCTGTTCGGACGTGTTCAAGCGTGTTCGGACGTCTGAATGTGTCCAAGTTCAAACGTGTGTCCGAACACGTCTGAGCTTGTCCCAACATGTTCGAACGTGTTCAAACGTTTTCGAACGTTTTATCGGTACGCGTCGACGTTCTAACGTTGCGGTTAGTGGCGGTGTGTGTCGCACTGTTAAAAATTGTTGTTTTAAAACAACAACACAATTACCAACCTCGACAACGCTGTTGTTTGTGAACAAGTTTGCTTGTTTTAAAACGACGAATTCGTTGCTAATTATTTTTATGACTTATGCTGTTTCAAAACAATATTTTGCTGCGTACAAACAACCCAGCAATCTAAGAAGTGGTTACTGCGGGGTAACCGGGACTCTACGAGGTCTGTGACCTAATCGGCAATAAAAATTGATGCAAATAAGGCTGTCTACCGGTTTACAAACATCTTGTGGACGAACGACGCAACTCGTTAGTAAACAACGAAAGTCATTTGAAAACAACTTTGATCATTAAGAAAATTAGCAACATATTTACTGTTAAATTACAACATAATTTTTAACAGTGCGGGAATCCTCCCGTCTTGTTAAGTGAAAGAACTTGATACTGTTAAAACTCGTCGATGTGTGTCGGAAAAGGTCCAAAATTCACAATACGGGTTGGTACCGTTGAAACGACTCTGCGCTAAAACAAACTGTTCAGTGCGTGTTGGAACGTCTCAGGTTGCTTAGACGTGTCAACCCTTGTTGGTACTAGTCTACGCTCGATATAAGAATGCACTCTCATTCCAGGAACGTGACGTCACGTTGAAACGAACGCGACAAAGTGTCACGTTCGTTTGATCCGGTTTGAGCATTGTGTCACATTCGTTTGGATGTGTATCTACTAAAAGTTAACTTGTTCACATTCAAACGAATGTGACACAATGCTCAAACGAATGTGACATTTTGTCACGTTTGTTTCAACGTGATGTCACGCTCCTGGAATGAGAGTGTGCACTAGTTTGGGGTGCATTATTTACATCAGACACTAAATAAACCATACACCTTACACAAATACACAAAAATCGTCAAAAACCTAAATTTTCACCGGATTTTAACCTTAAATTGACGAAAGATGCATGTTTTTGTTGTCCTGTGGTCCTGAAATTTTGCCCAGCACCTGCTTATATCATAATCTATGCAACCGAATAGCATTGTTTGCAATTAAGGGTTAATTGGATTTATACATTAGTCAAATTTACCTTTAAACGACAATTATGCAAACCTGACTTTTTCCATCTCTCAAGGGACCTCTTAGGAAGCTTCAGTTAAAATTTGATCCAATTCGGTCGATAAACGGCTTTGCAGGAGGCCGTGATCACGAAAATAGGGGTTCTGGCCCACTGTGCGTTGTACCGTGTGTGACAGGCATGTATCACTATTAAACCTTGCAGACCATTGTGTCCAAATTCTCAAGTTTACAGTAATAGCATACGTCCTACCACTCCACCCCCACAGTGTGATGGCCTTGTTGCAAACCAAGATTACGAGGAGGAGAAGTAAAACGAGGAGAGTAGGTAAGAGTCTTGCAACAAAATTTAAAAATGTCGATGCAGAGCAATCTAATAGCCAATGGGACAAAACACCAAAATTTAACTGAATATGAGACCCAAAACTTACTCGGCACAAAAGTTGAATTGCCATACAAACAACTGATTCCAATACAAATGTCATTACCTGCAGACTCGGATGCCATGATCAAAGCTACTGCTTTGCCACCAGAACGGAAGGAGGAGGTAGAAAAGCACATTCGTAAACACCACGACGTCTTCACATTTGGTCGATATCCATGGATGAGATTTAGGATAGACGCAGGAAATCATCCACTCATCTAACAGAATGCACGTTCAGTACCCCTGCAATTACAATACAAAGTTTGTGAGACAACCATGAAATACTTAAAAATTAAAGCAACCAGGCCTAGTAAGTCACCCATAGCGGTCAAAAACATTCATACTAGCACAAACATTAACACCGGCACAAAACAATTATTGAGTGACTCATGCGGAATTATAAGCTTTGGTAGAATCAGGTAAAGCTTTCAATCATTGCCAAGCAAGACTGCCCTTCCCAATAAAATCAGATCACGCAGCCATGCAGTGGTTCAAATTTTTAAAAATCCAACGGGCATATTATAAGTAAAATAATTTAAAAAAAAAATATTATTCTAGTACAGTCATTATAAATTTACTGTTGTGCATACAAAAGGCACAAACTTAAGATGCATAAAAGCAGGCGTTCAGAGAGGCCTTGCAGCCCCCAATCTAAAAGGGTGCACTAAAGCATGAGCTAAAGACGCAACAGCTTACCTCATCAGTTCTACTTCAGGTGAAGATTGACCATTCGAGATGTGTTCACATCAGTTCTAAAGGCTCTAAATAATGGGCCAGTTGTTCGTTCAATTAGCCCAAAGGGAAATTCACTTCTTCGTTTGCCAGCCAGACTGAAGAACAGTTCCAGGTCCACAAAAGAGTTCCAGTCCAACGTAAACAAAAGGTTTCTAAGGTTTTGTCATTACACTGCAAACAACAACAGATTCCACGTTAATAATGCCCACGTTAGTACTGTCACAGTTGCTGAACAAATTGCGTAGAGATGATTACTCCACAGCATCAAAAACAAATTCCAAGTCAGCTTCATTGCCGAAAGCACACACACAGAAACATTCAGAGCCAAGCAAATAACTTCATGTTGTTCTTACCCAATATCCACGGCGGCTTGTCTTTCTATAGGTTGACCCATGATAAAATCTTTGTCCAGGGTAAAAGTCTGTTGAACATTCTGGCAAACAACGTCGACCTCATAACAACTCTGCAACAATATTAAATGAATTAGTCAAACTTGTCTCACTTTTCTCACGTTCATACATTCAAATGGCAACTTACGTACTTTGGTGAAAAGTCAAGGCAGGCAGATAAATAGAGCGGCACACAGACAGGAAGCACCGAAAGGAGTTTGGCAGACGTCCTAGTCTCAGGCCTTCACAGAATGGATTGCTTGCTCGCTCATGCTCATAAAATTTATGTAGATCTCCTTCCAGTACTCCTAGTCTTCCGAAGGCGACGAACTCCGTCGACGCCGCAGTGCAAGAAACCCAAACCTGTTGCAACAAGAACATTGATTAGTTTCCCTGTCCAACATCGAAACCCAGACAAGGGCCCTATCAATCATTGGTGAAAATGTCCCCCCGGATGCAGTTTGTACGGACCAGCAGAAAGAGGAAATCGACACACTTAACTATCAAAGGAAAAATCACAAGAACTTACCGAAAACCTGGCTCCACATCGAACTGCGTATCAAGAAGTTTCCTCGAACGAATCATCACCCAAGAAATACGGACACTGCAACAGAAACATCAAGGTTTTACTCTCTACAAAATAATACATGCGCCCGAACTGTTTCAAAAAGAAGGGAGGAGAAGACTATACGCTGCAGGAACAAACTCATTGGAAATGCAAATTTTGAAACAACAGGAGGAGTCCAGCAGAGAGCAATTTGAATAAGAAAAGTGCAAGCTAGAAAACACAGACAAGCATTTGAATGAAGGAAGTCATGAAGAACCGGGCGAAGACGCGGAACGGAAGATAAAGTCCTATTATGCACATGTACTGGACTTGTACTTAACAGAGTCAGAACGAGAAGAAATTACACAAGAAATCACTGACAGAAGCAACCACAACCACCCAATCAACCGGTCACTCGAATCACTACAAATGGACGAAGCAAAAGTAATTCAAGAAATAGAAGAGCTTCTCACTTTGGACGAACCTTACTCACCTTCAAACGTAGCGCCGGCTCAACAGCATACTTCAGCAGAAACAGCACAGCATGAACTTCCGGTTTGTGAAACCAACCACGAATTCAGCCAGTGTGACGTCCCCATTCTTCAGCATCCAGGCGGAGGCAGCCTTGAAACACAGCATTACCTGGAGCCATCACAGAAATCCTCATAAACATCAGGAATGGATTGCCTTGAAAATGATTTTAAAACCTCTCTCTTAACATTGTTATCTGCCAGCAGCACCTCCAAAGTTTCTTTCAGTGGAACATACTGAGCAACTCTTGCCATCTTTTCCATGTTTGGAGTTGGAAGTGGAATTTCAACCGATGGTATGTAAGGAGCTATCCTCTTCATTTCTTCTCTTCGGAGGTGAACGCTAGAGACTTGTTCTTGATCATGACCAAAGTGGTGGATACCATGAACGGGATCAGCACTGAATGTATTGTCCAAAATTATTGCAATCTTTCTCTTCTCCAACCCAGCAGAAACCAATTCTTTTTCAAGGGTTTGCCTCATGCAATGATGTGACATCACTGTAAATGAAGCAATTTTTTCACTGATAAATTGAACTGTGACTGAAGGCAACACTTTTTGTCCTTCGAGTTCCAAATAAAATGTTAAAACATTTTTCTTTATGATATTTGGTGCCAAAGGGTTAGACACTGCAACAGACAAATCTTGAGGCACAATGGTAGCTGAAGAAACTTCTGACACACTGGTACGGCTGGTTGATGGTAGGTTTTGGGTGGTTGAATACGAGCTGCATGTTGACTGCTGTGACGAATGTTTCCGAGAGAGATGAACTCTGAATGAGTTTTTGTTCTTGTGAAGAGTCTTACATGAATCACCATAAGGGCAGATAAACTCATGCCCTGCATCTATGTGAGTCTCCAAATGAACTTTCAGAGTTTGCCCTACTTTAGACAAGGAGCAATTCAATACTGGACACTGAAAACTGGGGACGGCTTTATCCTGTGACACATGGCTTCGAGACAAATGGGACTGGAAGGCACTAAAAGTGACAAACCGCCCAAAACATTGACTAAAACAACAGCGTATTGTGCAATGTTCTTCCTTGGTTCTTCCTTCTGGTGATTGAAATATTGCTGAGCACTAATCAGTACCGCAGAGCATTCTTCACATCGGTAAGTCGGACCAGGATTTAGTTCAATGCCCCCAATGAATAAAAGGATGAGAATCAAGACCAGAGAAACTGGCAATTGAAAAAAAAATGAACTGAAGCATTTAGGTTGGCCTCTCCTGGTTCTTACTGATACTCTACTGCTTGCATAGGTACCAATCCTAGCCCGGTGCACTTCTGCAGACACACCCATCTTGCACTGCAACAAAAACAACAGTGAAGCAAATGCGAAATGCTGCTAAACAGAGACAAAGTATCATAAAAAGTACTCACTAAGGTTGCACACTAAAATGTTGTTTCAAGATATGGAAGACCAACAATACAGTACAAAACACTTTCCATCTGAAAATAAAAAAACAACTGTATAATGCAAAATTAAACATTACATTTTCTTTAGGGTAACTTTCAAAATTTTAGGACATACATACCAGGAAAAACAAGTCTGGCACAAATGAAGTTAAAAGATTGACTCACTCCAGACTGATTTACATGTTGAAATTAGATAAATGAGTCCACATGAACCAGAGACATCATTAAACTACTCAGGAAGATTGCTCACTAATGTCGTTAGAAGATAGAATAAGTCCACAACACAGTACAAATCTCTTTGCACCTGAAAATAAAAAGCAAACTGTACAATGGAAAATTTAACATTACATATTCTTTCAAAATTGTTGGATATACATACCAGGAATCTAGTCTGGCACGAATGACAAAAAAAGATTGATTCATTTACATCTTGCCATGTTTACATGTTGAGGTTAGATTCAAGAGAAGTTCCGTATGAACCAGGGAAATCAAATTCAATGCCATGAGATCTGCAAACAGAAAACATCAACATGAACCACATCTCTAAATTGTAGGACATACATACCAGGAAAAACAAGTCTGGCACAAATGAAGTTAAAAGATTGACTCACTCCAGACTGATTTACATGTTGAAATTAGATAAATGAGTCCACATGAACCAGAGAAATCATTAAAGTACTCAGGAAGATTGCTCACTAATGTCGTTTAAAGATAGAATGAGTCCACAACACAGTACAAATCTCTTTGCACCTGAAAATAAAAAGCAAACTGTACAATGGAAAATTTAACATTACATATTCTTTCAAAATTGTTGGATATACATACCAGGAATCTAGTCTGGCACGAATGACATAAAAAAATCGATTCATTTACATCTTGCCATGTTTACATGTTGAGGTTAGATCCAAGAAAAGTTCCGTATGAACCAGGGAAATCAGATTCAATGCCATGAGATCTGCAAGCAGAGAACATCAACATGAACCACATCTTTTCTTATACCAACTTTAAATATTACAAAGTACACAAACCAAGGACAATTCCTACTTTTTAATTCACACTCGAGGCTAACACCACTAAAACCGCATGAAGGTGCATCCAGTAAAGCTGCTTGGGCTGTTTCGAGCTCTCGGATTGGTGAGAATTCGTGCTGGTGGCGGGAACACAATACACGAACGTTCGAAGACAAACGAACTTACTAACATTTTCTAAGCACGGCGAAACACAGGTCAAGAGTATGAAATCTGAAGGTTCTTTTTTATGAACGAATATTTTTGCCAACAATTTTGAACCAAAGCGCTCGTAAAAATGACGTTTTTAAAAAAAATTGGCAGTGCATGGTTGGTAGACTTGACTGGCGGTTTCGTTTCCACAAGAAAAGCGCGGCGACCGTTAAAACGAGAGACTTTGCTTCAAAGTTATTTGACTGATCCACTTGGAATTGGTTCAGTGATTTACATGAATATTTAACGAGAAAATGGCGGTGAGTCTTTGTTCTTCTAGTTGTAGATGAAGAAAATGGTGAAAATGTAGTTTAAACTGCGGTTCTTTGATGTTCGATCTCAGGAAATTCGACCATCCTGCTCGTCCACCCAAAGCACTGCCGCTGAGGCTCTCTTATTACTTGGATCAGATTGTGAGTTATTGCACAAAATTGTATTCTCAAGGATATTTTCATGAAAAGCAAGCATTTATTTTGGATTTTATGTTACAGCCCAAAATGAGACACCTGATGTTGAAATGGATTCTGATGGAGAACCAGCCCAAGGTAACTTTGTGTTGCACAGAAAATAACTTATGGCAGAAGAGGTTTAATCTAATTTTCTAATTTTGGTCGTTTTGCAGAAATTATTAGAAAACAATGGAAAGCTTTTAATTATCAAGTGCCTTGGGATAAGGTACCGCTCAGTATACTACAGAAATTGGATGCTGCACAACAAGCTGGGACCATTGCAGATCAACTTGATGTTATCCGTCTGCGAAAGTGGATATCAAAAGATTTATTCAACTCATATGAGCGTTTCAAAAAACATTACTATGTCAAGACAAAAACAGCTGGCACGAAGATATATGAGTTGATTAGCTCAGAGGTGTGTGAGAGATACACATGTATAAAGGTGACAACTGACAATGAAGTAATTGAAGCAGGATACCCAAGTTTTCTGTTGTCACTTTCTCATTCAATGGAAAACAAAGGAAGATGGGGCACACCTGTTGATGAAGCTCCTTGCGCTTCACATGCACGTCAAGCAAAGGGAACACCAGGAGTCCTTGCTGATCAGTACGCTCCAGACCTCACCGAAACCATGGAGATCAGCCAGGAAGCGTACAGAGATGTTATGATAACCATTAGTAGGCTTACCCACAAGAAGTCCTGGGACATCCAAAAAATCACAAAGCTGATGCACCTTACTTATGAACTCCAAAGGCGAGACATAGGCCAGGCCTTACAGGTGATTGCCGAAGAGCGGGAGGAGGAGGACCAAGATGATCCCGGTAAGTTTATTCCAAAGAAATTTAGAGTTGAAATGATTCAAGGGACTGTTATTTAAATGCATTTATATAAATTTTTCTTTTCAGAGAATGAAAGTGAAATCAGAAAACTGAAATTGAATTGGCCATTTCTCTTTGAATTGCGGTGGCAATCCAGTCATTTTCTAAGGCTCTGTGGTCGAAGTTCAGAAATACCTATGAGGGACTATTATGAGCACCATTTAAGGTTACTGTAAGGTGAAAAAACTATCTTCCAAAGTATAGGTGGCAGTGCTTTGGTTTTTGGTGATTTAGTTGCTTACTATAAAAAACTTTTACAGCCACAGACTGGACTCCCAACTCCCATTAGTTCCAAAGTTATGAGGGTTTTAGTGTTATTTTAGTCGTTTACTAAAAATTCTCCTTGCGATGAACCAAAAAGTTTACGGAGGTGTGACTTTTTATTTTAAGGCTTAATGGACATGCAAACAGACTAGCAAAGCCGGATTTGACAATATATGCATAGAAAAGCTGTAATTACTGTTTGGAAAATGCGTTTTGAATTTTTTACTTAAATTTGGTAAAATTTTGGTATTTTTTTGAGTTTTTTGATAAAAATTCCTGTTTCATGTTGGAATTTTGGAAATCCGGCTTTGCTACGAGATAGGCAAATCAATAAAGAACTTGTAAAACAAAAATCAAGTCTCGACAACTTTTGGTTCATCGCAAGGAGAATTTTTAGTGAACGACTAAATTTGTTACGTAAACTGCAATAACTCAGAAAATAATGGGAGTTGAGTGCCTCAACTTTGGGTTTAAGTTCATCTTATAGTAAGCAACCTGAAACCTAAATACAAACATGATGCCACAATTATTTTGGAAAATGATATTTCACATTTTTTCACTTTACAGTAACCTTAAGAACACTTTTCCAGTTTGTAACTAATCCAAATACTGAAAGTGGGGTGAAAAATATAGCAGAGCAATGGAAATGGGAAGATGCTGGGAAAAAATCAGAATTGAAATTTCTATTGGCCTTTCAAATGCTTGCTAACTATTTTAGTGAAAAACAGATGAATTCATCACAACTGCTGAGGTAAAAGCCTTTTAGTTTGCTTTAACTTGATACTACCTTGATATCTCTTGCCATTAACATAGCTGGATAAATTTTGTTTTCTTTACAGAGAACCTGTACTCGGGATGAAATCGAAAGCCGTGTGCGCTCTGGAGGACTTACTCTAATAGCTCTTGGTAATTTTTTTTACCACTCTTTGCCTTAATGTGACTCAGCAAACTTGCTGCTGAGGAAATTCATAGATTACAAAGAGATAAGCAAATTACTGTCACCATCAATTAACTGATCTGTCTGTCCTTTTTTTGTCTCAGATCGGAACATGTATGCAGCCCAAAAAATTTATGTTACCCTTGATGGGCAAGTAATAATGATGGCGGAAGACAGCACAGATGCGCTGATGGGTTTGATGCAGTGTGCTTTTATATTTGATGCTCATTACCCAAAACAATTGAAATTTACTTTTGAATTTCTTGAGAGGTAATGACATATCCATTAATTCAATACTTTGTATTCATTCTTCTAACATTTATTCATTTAAAGAATATACTGAGTAATGTATTTCCTTGTCTTATTTAGGGTTGTTTGTAAGCTGGGCAGTGAGCACACACGGCGAGATGCACCAGCTGTCTGCTTGTCAGCACTAGTCACACGGATGGTCAACTCAATTGAGAAGTTCAACAATAAATTGAAGAAGTATTTAGAAAATTAGAAAAGACTGTAATAGAGACAGATAGAAGCCATGAAAAACACTTCTCCATATTGTAATGATTGCTTTTTCCTTGTTTTACATGTACTATTTCTGATACACACTTTAGTTGAATTTAGCTAGCAGTGTTTCTTTTAAATGGTTGATTTAAATATTAGGCCTACACACTTTTTTTTTTAAAAGAACAATTCAAAGATTGACTCTGTTGCTTTGTTGTTACCCATTTTATTTGTTAAACATCTGTTGACCAGATGAGCCATTTTTTGTTATTATATTAAACAAATTTTATTCCCTAATGAGATTTACCATCTGTTAAACAGTACTTATAGCAATCCTTGATATTAAAATACATATGCTATTCCCTATGCAGAAGTTTTTCTTGACTCCGCTAGACCTCCCTGAGATCCCAGTTCAAGCAAAAAGTGTCAGTATTTGAAACACGCATCCCCTTTTACAACAGTCATCATCAAATAGAAAGCATCAGCCTAATACAAAAGCCCTGTTCTGAATGGAGCAGTTCGCATCCAGATTGTTCAAGTTAGGATTAGTATAAAAAAATAATGACAAAATACACAGAAGTTTGATTCTTTTTGATAATTTTACTCCCAAACTACCTTGAGATCTCTCAACTAAATACACAGCTTAAAGAAAAAAAGAAAAGAAAACTAAAAAAAGAAACTTTTTGTACACAGCACAGGATGTAAAATATCAATTTCTGTTCTTCCTCTTGTTGGCAAACTAGCAGCACCAATGTGCAGCCAAGGAGAGTCTCCAGTTGGCTGTCGTGGTTCCAAGGAGGTTGCGGCTGATGGTGGTGGTGGTGCTGCCGGCTTGGAGCATTTTTGATTGTGGCCTGGAATTCACACACAATATGACAAGTTAGACACAGTACAAAGAGTTCATTCATAAAGATGTGGGCCTTGTGAAACAGCAGGTCACTAAGTGAAAAATATATTTTATATTGTGGAGGGGAAAAAAGCAGAGGCCGGAAAAATATTGAGGCGATTTGATGAAAATGCTAGTTGGGCACCGTTCAGAGACAAGAATGCGACTCAAAATTAAAGGCTAGTGATATTAAATGGTAGACAAAGCTACATGACACATCACTGAGAGTCAATATGACATGAACTCACCCTGAGGCTCCAAAAGAACAACAGTGGATCACCTCCTTGGCTTGGAGTTGGCAGCTGTCATGACAGAAGCAGTAGCACTGCCAATGAGCACTTCGCAGTCGTCCCACCGGTGTGTGTTCTCCAACAGTGACCTGCATCCGCACACATACACACAACAAGATGTTAGTCAGATATAAAAATATTTTATCAAGAAAATGAGAGCCCACAAGCCTAGGGTCTCACAAGACAAAAGAGCAACCAATTTGCAGCAAAGAAAGCTTTGAGAATAGAGAGGGTCTTGGTTTGCTGGTTGGAAGTTTGGTATAAACAACCACAAATATCGCACTGTGTTGAGGCTGATGTTCACGGCACAATATTGCCCACTAACAAAGAAGTTTAGGATCGCAAGCAAGCATGCTGCACTGGTTCGTATGAAAAAAGGGAGATCGTAAAAAAGGGTCGTGTTGCGAAAGCTGTGCAGGCGTGAGGTTACGTACATAGAAAGGCCAATGCCGAAAACGTACGGCACCGTCTGCAACGACTTACGCACGCAGAGAGTAGTTGTGTAGAGCACAATCATCGCACCAATTGCTGCGCGTCACCAGCTGACTGTTTGAACCACGACTCGCTCATTTTCATTAATAACAACAAAACGTTCCAAAGTTGTGCAACAGTCGTCGTCTGCTTCTGCGCCTTCGAGCGCGGCGCAGGGTACACTGAAAAACCTTAAAGTCACCAACCAAATCATCATATTTTTTTCTCATATTTTTCGACTCTTACTATGCAACAAGGAAATTGAAAAACAGAGCTGTCTTTGATTTTAATTTTCCAGGTAGTGTGATGAGATCACGAGGAAGAGCTGCTCCGAAACGATTCACTGTGACGTTCGCATCAGGTTGGCACCCCTTGTTTTGACAAATGAAGGCGAGAAAAGAACAAAAGAAGTTCTCCTTGTAAACAAAAGTTCGAGTCTCTCTTGTAACCCTGAAGAATTTCACGAAATAGTTTGAGAATTTTTATCTGTCAAGGCTTGTCACCGGGCTTACCCATCGCGAGTGACTCTAGAATATACAGTAGAAGCTCGCGGGTGCTTTTCAAGTCGTTATTAATCGCATTTAGGAAGTGCACAACCCCTGGGAAGATTCACCTGGAAGAACGTTTTTCTTATCTCAGTTTGTTGGCTTTTGGTGGAGGAAGCGGGATGAGATGGACTCTAAAACGTATCGATGCAGTTTCTGCTCGGCCCTCCTCATTTATGTGAGAATGAACTTTTACCCTGGATGAGTAACCTGAAACTCATCCATAATCAAAGTGTCTCAAGTTTTGTCAAGAACTGCTACAGCAACAAGACATCCAGCATGGAGACAGTGGATCCATACAATATCAAATGATGTAAGTAAAAGACACCACATAAACAAAATTGTTTAGTCACTTCCAGCCTTGTGCCATTGACAGCGCACAGCTGTACTCAGATCCCCTTTTCCTCTGCGGTATTAGTTAGTCACTCTCAAGTGAGATTCAACGCAGGGAAGCTAAATTTGTGATACGGATTTGACTTTAAAGAAAGTACGGGATTGCCTGTAAAAAGACTGCAGCATGGACCGTACAAAAGTACGGTAACTTCTGTTAGATGACAACGGTATGTTTTGTAAAACAAGTACGGTAAACACTGTAGGCTGTACGGTGAATGCTGGCTTTGAAAGTACGGTGAAGTCTGGAGTAATCAGTACAAGATTTTCCGTCATTTTTTCTCAGAGTGATCCCTCGTAGAAACGCGGTACAGATAGATGAACCTCTTTCTGATGGTTAAAAATTGTTTCATAACTGCTGAAATTGGCAGGACACAACTTGCAGCTGAATTGTGGTCCAGGGTTTGGCTCTACACCGGATATGAGCAGCAGCAAGCACAGGGTAAGTGACGGTAGAAACAGTCCAAGTGGTCCAATTTTGAGTCCATCAAAGCAAGCTGTGCCACATCCCCGTGTCCTTCCAGGATCAGAGTGCAGGCCAATTCTGGCCCGATACGCTTCCAAGGAAATCCCCACGATAATCTTCCAGAAAGAAAAAAACAAAACAAAAACATGTTATGATGGGCCAAAACAAAAAATGCCATCAGAGGAAGAAAGAAAGCTTAAAACTTACCGAAATCCAGCTTTCAAAGCATCAAAGTGGCAATGCGCACAATGCGTCTATGTAAGCCTCGTTAATGCAAACACTGGAATTGAAGAGGGACAATTTTTAGTTTAAAACTTACGAGAGGACCGTGGTGTTTGATAGGAACAACCATTTAACCAATGTTTCGACGAAACTTCATCCTAGACTACGCAAAGTAAACATGGTACAAAAATTAATATTAACGACTTACAGAAAGAACTGAGTGGACTGATAGATAAAAGAAACTCTTTCGCCCGGCCAGGTAATCCCAGCAGAGGCAGAATTCCGCCATTCTCGTACACAACAGAGCGTTGACTAAGGGAGGTCTGTTCAATGAGCTTCACATGGGTTATGAACTGAAGAATCGACTGGGCCGTGGCGAGCCGCATTCGATCTTGCCATGTTTTGAATTCTTAGTTAGTGCACCATGAGTGCACTAAGTGACGATGTTTCAAAGAAGTTTAGATTAAGTAATTGAAATTAATTTTACGAATTATTCTATGAAATAAACACAAGTAAATCAGAAAACATCGTCCTTGCTTGGCATTCCCTCCCATACCAACGTAACGATACACTGACTTTGTTTTTCAAGAAAAGTTGAAATTGTTCTTAAAAAAAGAAAGTGATGTAGTGTCTTTTTAAGACAACTCTCTTAAACAATTACTTATCAAATGTACTGAGGACTGACCTAAAATTTAAAAAAAAACTAAAACATGATTGGTTTGAGGGCGTTAGTTGGTAGCATTTGCAGCGCCACACTTCAACTTAACGGCTGCGCGCGGACTCATTCGTACAAGTGTTCATTGAAGAAAAATCTTTTCGTTTGTCATGGCATCATCAAGCCAAGCAGGTACAATTGGTGGGCTTTGCCTTATTTTCAGAAATCAAGGAAAGGCAAAATTTAATCTTTTTTTTGTTTTTTTTTTGTCAGGCAACTTGCCCCGAGGCCAATTTTCGTACACCATTCCATGGAACAGTGTGCCAGTTGATCTTCTGCGAGACTTGGATCTGTCTCACTCAATAGGACAGCAAGCTCATCCTGACAAGATAAACCAACTAAAGAAGTGGATTGGAGAAGACCTCTTTCAAAAGGACGAAGCGTTCACTGTTAAAAATGCTATGAATTTTCATTACAAATATGCATTGAAAATTCATGAACGCCATTAAATTTCATAGCGGCCATAAAATTTCATAAATATAATGAAATGTCATAACACATTCCATGAAACGTCATAATATCTCCTTGAAAAATCAAGTCTGCAATGAAACGTCAAGAGATTTGATGAAAAGTCAAAACGTGAAACTACAAATTAAGTGTGATTCTGAAAATTTATTACCAAGATATAAACTTTCATGTCGGTCTCTGACTTGTGATAGGCAGGTTTTGATGGCTCTTACATTGCCCGGGTGGAAGGAACTTCAGGTTTGTCTGAGTTTGAACCTAATCGTGATTCGGAATATTTCTATGCTCTTCCCTGAGTAATGTAGCGTGATGATATGAGTAGTAAATCAAATGTCGCACCAAAAAAGAATTTTAGTATCATTAAACGCAAACCGTGGTCAATCCACTGCTCACATGGTGCGGCCTGCCAGCCACCTGGGCTCAAAGTCAGGTTTCAAGAAGCTGCCGCTAGGTGGCGCTCGGAGCGCCGTGTTCGTTCACTAATAAGTTTTGCCTATTCATTTAAGTAAAATTAATATTTTTTTCAAAAGTTTATCCTTGGTTACCTCAGTGAATATCTACTCTAGACGTATGCTAAAAGTGTTAAACAAAATATTACTCTGAAGTCGAGAAAAACGCAGAACCATGTTGCGACTCGCTGGCGCCTACCGTCGGCCATTAGGTTAGGTCCAGCGAGAGCCTCCTCGTGGTTGTGGTACAACATGTTACCAACTCATCTCGCTGAGTATCGCTCCGGGGCAAGATCGGAGTCTGAGGTGGACTTGGCCCGCTTTCAATTTTTAGAAGTGGTGTGGAACTCAGAGCCAAGATACCGGTCGAGATTTCATTACCCACTTAAGATGTACAATACCTCAATCGGAAATAAAATGTCAAAACTTACATATGAATTTTCATGAACAAATTAATGAAGTTTTACAACACATTGCTATGAAATTTCATGGCGATTTTCTGCAATGAAATTTATTTCATTGCAGAAAATCGCCATGAAATTTCAGAACAGAAAAGTGATAATAATTACATTAACATGTTATGAAATTTCAATCCAAATTTTTTAACAGTGTTTAAAGAAAGGCACCTTGTCAAGCATAAAACGCCAGGAGTGCGTATCTACGAGGCTGTCACTCTGGATGTGACCACAAGGTATGAAAGATGCTTCAGAGTGATAGCAAATGATCGACAGCTTGATGATGGCTACCATACGTTCCTTCAAAATTTCACCCATCACATGGACCACAAGGGGCGAAAGGCAGCCCCAGTCCCCAGGAGAGTACCCCAGGCCAGGATGGCACGAGGAGCTGTGGGGGTCCTAGCTGGGATGTACAACCCTCGACTGGGGGAACCTGACTTGGAAAGTCAAAGAAAATTCCAAGAAGAGCTACAGGAAATCTTTAGAACAATGAGGGAAGGCCATTGGCGAAATCAAGATGTAGACAGATTGATGCATCAGTCTTATGCGCTTCAGCGCCAAGACATTGTGAACGGTGTACAAAGAATCAATGAGACAGAGGAGGATGACCCTCAAGGTAACTTGAAACATCGAAGGTAGAATAAATGAAATTTGGAACCAACTAACAATTTTATTTAACTTTTGGCACTTGCAGGGGAAGTACAAATGGCAGAAACACAAAAACAGTGGCCTTTTCTCTTTTACAAGAGGTGGCAAGATAAGCACTTCCAGCTCCTAACAGGAAACACAATTGATTTGGCTGTTGCGGATTACAAGGAAAATTTTTTGGAGCTGCTAATAGATTATATGACATCCTGTGGCTCAGACAGCTCAATGACTAATGTTGTTTTAAGAAGACAATGGCAAAGAAATGGCTGCAATGTAGAAGTACAGTTTTTGATTGCCATGACAATTATTTCTAACTATTTTCATGAGACTGGCAACTTGTTTGTAGCAGCTGAGGTAAATGATACTGTAGCACATTATTTCCTCTGAATGAATTGACACTCCCTGATACATACATGCTTTGTTTCCTTACAGAAGACAACTTCACCATCTGAGGTGAAATTCTTACCAGGGGTTACTGGTGATCCCTGCATCATAGCTCTAGGTTGGTTATAAATAAAGGATGCCATGTATCAATTTAAGAATGAATCGGATATTGTAATAAATCGAATTCTCAATTCCAGATAAAAATGTCTTCCAAGCCAAAAAATTCTACACAATCATAGATCAAAATGTTGTGTTGACAACGACAAGAAGTGAAGAGGCACTGATCGGACTTGTATCAACAGCATTTATCTTTGATGTCCAATACCCAGTTGCACTGCGCCACACGTATGAATACATAGAAAGGTAAATTAATCAAGAACTAAAATGAAACAGCCAGTTTAAACATAACAGAACATTGAGTTAATCTTTTCTGATTCCCCTAGAGTTGTGTGCCGCTTGGGAACCATGTCCAGATGCCCCGGTGCAGTGGCTGTGACATCACCAGTAGTCTTAAAATTAATTAGTGACTTAAGAAAGTTCCAAGAGCAATTTGAGCATACATCAAACGTAGTTCTTGAAAATTAATAAATGATGATAATTTGGTAAATAATGAACTAAAAGGAAATAGATAATTCAAGCAAAAATGAACTGAAAAAAGGTATATTATTACAAATGTTAAACTGTAAGGAAAAATATTAATGATTTTGAGAAAAAATTAACTGTGAGCTGTCAAAAGACTTGTAAAACTATATGAACCACAAAACTAATGTTATACACAACTATGAAACAAGTATTCTAATTTAGACCCACACCCGAGTCCTTGTACAATGAATTTGTCAAACAAGCAGTCATCTGCATACAATAAAAATATTGGACTAAAAATTGTTCTCTTTCATTAACCAGGGAAGCATAAAAATTTAAACAATCAACTGAGAGACACACCCTGTAGTGACCAGGCTGAGTTACAAAGACTACCATAAATTCATAAAATTTCAATTGATTTGCATTGATTTATGATGGTGTGAGAGGAAAATGATTGAGAAACTTACAAAATCAGATTGTCAAATGAACCAAAGAGACTCTTTACATTTATAAGTTCAACACACAAATGAAGAGTTTACAGCAGAATGGAGCAGTCATTTTTACTTTGCCCTTTTAGTTCTACTTGAAAGGAAACTGAGTAACAAAATAGACTAGGTGGTATTACTGACTTTCTGTCTTATCAATAAACAACCAAACAGTACAATACAACTACAATGAAAACTACTCCCCTGGCACTCAAGTTACCAGCAAAGCAAGGGAAGAAGAACTGAAATTCAAGTTTCAAATGTTTGGCCAAAGAGAAATTGAAATAAGAATGTCAGCCATGAGACAGAAGCATAATTGTTGGTATATCTTCTGATATGTGAATCCAGAAGCTATTCGGTCCACGGCTTGTGAGCACCAACGGATGAGGCAGTCATGAGAAAGTTTCAGCCAGCGCGCCACAGAGGTTTCCTACAAACATTGAATGCAAAAACATTCAGAACATTCAGAGAAAAGAAAGAACAAGTATCAAAAGCAAATATAATTTACAATGATCAGTAAACAAATTAGAAAGTAAACAGGAAAAGTGAAACAAAATGCCACGGGCCGTACTGTGGCTTTGGGCTTCACAATTAATTGAAACAGTTCTAAGCAGTGCCCCCAACACCACCTCGTAAAATTGTAAATGCTCTTCAAGCTTCATTACCTGAGTGTAAAAAAAATTTCACCAGCTGATGAGCGGAGACTGCGACTACCAGGAAAATGTTTCATTCAACACGCCACAGCAATTAACCTACAAACATTTGATACAAAAAACATTCAGGATGCAGTTTGAGTCAGCGCTTATAACAGCCTGAGTCTTAGTCTGATTGTCTATCTAGTGATGCAATGCCAAACAAAGAGTGCCCTCATCAAAAGTTTGGGTTGGTGTTGAATGCACTCGAATTGCACACAGGCTAACGCAATTCACATTTGTGAAGCATGTTTTTAAATGAATTTCGTCTTTTCCCCACTAATGACTGTCTAGACCAAAATATTTCATCTGAGTCGTTGGAGTTTCCCTGAACAGGTTATTTTAGCGACCCTACAGGAGGATCGCTAGGTTATTTACATTACCACCATGCTCTAGCCAGATCCAGAAGTTCTTCTGGCATTCACGAATCGTCCGATTCCCCCGTCGGCCTCTCACAAGCTGTTCTGGTCGATGGGCACCAAATAATACCTTCTTTGTCACCTGTACACACAAATTCAATAGGTTAGCGATGATCAGAAGAAAATGCAACAAGGATGGAGCGCAGCGGCTTTTGTCCAGCCAGCTGACGAAGCAAGGGTTATAGCATGCCGCAAAGCTGCTCTCCAGCGTACTCTGGTCGAAGAGCAAGAACGAATGCAAGAGAGAGAGAAGAAGCGCGTGCTTGGACAGCGGTGTGCGTAGCCGATAGGCAAAAGTGGACAAAATTGAACGCAGCTAAAATTAACGGACGCACTTTGCACTTACGGCACGGTGAACGCGTAGCAGACGCCGCTCGACCAAAACAAAAGCAACCCGTCCCCTCCCCCTTCCACCTCCCCCCGCCCCACCCCGTTATTCGCAGTTCAACGATTTGCGAATATTCTGCACGTTTTAGATACAGTCTTGCAAACAAATGTTGACAGTTTTCTCGCTTCTCTCTCGAGACGATAAAGTGGATCAAATCTGGACAAAATGATTCACTTGTTGTCACTTGGATTTGCACTAAGTTTTAAGTTGTCTGCAGTTTATAATTGCTGTTACCTGGCGCTGGGCGGCATTCGACGTGTGCCCGCCGTCTATCCTTGGTTTCAAAACGGGACAAAGGAGTGTAGTGTAGGTTATAAACAACATGCCAACTTTAAATCTACAAGCACCTGTCCTGGATTGACTTTCGATGTGTAGTGTGATGGCGTGGTGCGAGGCAACTGCACCGCAAACAACAACATTCTGCAAATATGTTTCTACGACTCTTCACCCACTCAGCTGACCATCCACAGATCCAACATTACAAGGTAACCATTGGAACTAGAACTAAGTCAAGCCAGGGAAACAAACATACAAAATAGCTGTTCAAAGTTCACAAAATACTCTTTTTCTGCTTTCTATTGGTTCACGTCTCATTGTATTGAGATCACAGTTTCCTTTGCTTGTGCAATCAAACATGTAAACAATCTTGATAATGGAAATGAGAACCTTGATCGATAGTCTAAATTTAACTTTCACTGTCGTAATATCATAGGGCAGCATTGGATTATGTTGCAAGCTTGCAGCAGCATTTAAAATTGTTGGCTGAGCGATAGCGAAGCCTGTTACTCCAGTGGGGTTGAAAAGTTTTTTCTGTCTGTGTGTCTGTCTGTCTGTCTGTCTGTCCGCGCTACTCCTTCTGAACGGCTCGGCCGATCTCAGTGAGATTTTGCACACTTTTTGGGTATGTCCTTGGCTCCGCACACGCGAAATTTGTCTATCCTAGCTCAACTGGTTCGGTTTTTATAGCCGAAAAACGCATAAAAAACTGCGAAAAATCGAGTTTTCTGCAGGCAGGTCAATTGTGTCTTGAAGAAAGGGGGGTCTGGGGGGCGGAGCCACCCGGCCACGACAAGTTAAAAGGGTCAAGATCGTGTTATCTATAGATGAAGCAACTCTATCTAGAATGAAAGGGGGTCTGGGGGGCTCCCCCCCAGTATGCAACAAGGAAGAAGTAACCGACGACGGAGTAGCCATTGCCTGCCGAAGGCAGGCTACTCAGTAAATCCAAAACTCAGTTTCTGGTCTTGGTTTGTACCAGAAATCGAGAAGAAACGATTCTGTTTTCAAGCACCTCAGACCTAGGAGCGCGGAGATCTGCTTCTAGTACTGGCGTGACGGATGACGGTACTGCCGCCCCGGTTTCTGGGTGTGTTGTCTCTCTTTCTAGCTAGGTGCTGCAGATGCGTGTACCCAACCACGGTTTCTCGTGCATCCCGCAGCGATGTGTCAATGTCGAGAGATGTGTGCTCTCTCTCTCGTTTCATTTACTTGCGATTTTACGCGGTGAGTTCTTTTATGTAAAGAATATATGCGCTGTTGTTACATTTTTCTAAATCCATAACCGCACTTTTACTTTCTTGCTTGCGTCTTGATTAAATGCTTGTGAACATTGCGTGCGACTGCGTTTGAATGTATGTATTTGACCGAAATGTTCGCTCAATGTCAAGTTTTACTGCCTTTTCGCTTGTGGTTTGTCAGCCATGCCCAGAAGTTGCTATGGTTACAAGTTTTTACGATGGCTTGCTTTGTTCAATGATTTGCGTCCTCACACACCTTTGAGTTTGATGTTAAAAGTACTTGACTTGACTGACCGAGTTTGATTCAGGTGAGGAAATAAGAGAGATCTGGACACTTTGGTGGTTCACAAGCAAGAGACGGTTTATTGGACTGAGCATAACGAGGTAGACAGTAGCGTGTACATAGTGAAGTTGTAGGGTGAATAACAAAAATAAAATACTGCAGATAGTCAGTTAATGGTTACCAACATTTGAACATTTACAACACCCCTTCTTAAACATTATCTGACGGTAGAGAAATTGACAAGCTAAAAATGACTATTTAAATTATCAGACATCACAGCAATAAAGATTGCAAGTTACATACAATTTAAAAATACAGACAACGTAAGTTTAAAATAGAAATGAAATACAACACAAAATAAAAATAGAAAATAGCAGTCATAACACAGAATAGTGTTCCGTAAATTAATCTACTAAAGTTCAAACAAAGGAGAGAACACTTTGAGATCGTAAGAAACAAGAAGTTAACACAGATAAAAGAATTATCACACTTCAGTAAAAATTGACAAGATCAGGAATACAAAATCAGGAATAGCTTACAAAGATAAATACCCAAAAAAGGCAAAAATTACAAATCGAGAAAAAATTACATGTTAGGTAAGTGAATTACAACATCGAGTAAAGAGACACAATAGGGATACAACACGTTGCAAAGAACATAGTTAAAAAAAAAATGACACAATAGGGATAACTTGCACAACAAAACAACATTAACACATTTAAATCACATAAACGTGAATATTACATGGCAAGTAGACACAATCGGGAAAGTACATCTTGCAAAAATAGACAGTATTTAACGAGGACACAAGCCAAGTTTGCAAATACAATTCTTTTGCAAGGGGGGAGAGATTTGCTTGGTGAGGATATCAGCGGTCATTTCAGCTGTTGGCACATACTTGATAGCAATAACTTTGCTTGCGACAAGGTCTTGAATGAAATGCAGACGCATATCGATGTGCTTCAGTCTCTTGGATGGACCGACACGATCACTCACTGCAATGGCTCCCTGGCTGTCACACTTAATGTCAATGTGACAGGTCTCACCAATGTCCTTCATCAGTGAGGAGAGAAACAGGGATTCTCTGGTACATTCCACCAGAGCTAGGTACTCAGACTCCACACTACTTAGGGCCACAGAGGTTTGCTTCTTTGACTCCCAAGAAATTGCTCCATCCGACAGAATGATTGCATGGCCAGAGTAGGAGCGTCTGTCAATGATGCAACCTGCCCAATCGGCATCTGAGTATGCCGTGAAGTCACAACCTGCCTTAGTAAAACGTAGACAGTAATTAGCAGTACCTTTAAGATAGCGAAGCACCCTCTTCGCCGCTTCCCAGTGCTCCTTGGAGTAGCTGGAGTTAAATTGGCTCAGAACCGACACAGCATGACAAACATCTGGTCTGGTAGCAACGGCCAAATACATCAGACAACCAACTAGTTGCTGATAAGGTGCGTTGATTGAAGGTCCAGTATGTTTCACCAGCTTATGGGAAACCTCAAGTGGAGTCTTCACTGGTTTACTATCCTCCATATGGAACTTCCTGATGACATCCTCAATGTAAGCAGACTGGTCCAATTCGATCGAGTTGTCAGTCCTCAAAAAATTGATACCAAGATAACTCTTCAGTGGACCAAGAGAGTGCAATTCAAATCTCTCACTCAGCCCCTTCTGGAACTCTTGCACCAGCTGCAACTGTTTACAGAAGACAAGAATGTCATCGACATACAGGGTTACAATCACACGATCATTACCAGATCCTTTGAAGAAGATACATGGTTCAGTCTTCGACCTCTCAAACTTCATAGCACGAAGAATAGGTTCAATAGTCATGTACCAGGATCGAGGCGCCTGCTTCAAACCATAAATGGCTTTCTTCAGACGGCAGACAGACAGGCCAGAAGCATAGCCTTCTGGTTGTTCAATAAAGACTTCTTCCTCTAAAGCACCATTAAGGAAGGCAGTCTTAATATCGAGATGTTCGATATGCCAGTCATACTTCACAGACAAGGCTAAAAGAAGTCTGAAGCTAGAGAATTTCACTGTTGGAGCAAAAGTGTTAAAGTAGTCAACACCCATTTGTTGATCAAAGCCTCTAGCAACAAGGCGAGCCTTGTGACATACAAAATTACCAGAAGAGTCATACTTGGACTTAAAAACCCACTTGCTGGAAATAACGTTCTTATTAGCAGGTCTACTCACAAGTTCCCAAGTGTCATGACTCTTTAGGGACTCAATCTCGGCATCCATAGCCTTCTTCCAAAGGTGGCCATCCGGTCGTTTCAGAGCTTCCTTCACAGTCTTGGGATCGTTGTTGAAGGTTTCAACATAGTGAACGCTCGCATAGATGTAGTCGTCATCCCTCTTAGGTACACGTTGCCTCAGAGGATATCTTCTCCCATCTTGCTCTGGCTCAGAATCGTTCTCCTGCTCAGACGGAGTCTCAGGTTCAGATTCAGGATCGGTTGTAGTCTCAGCCTCAGATTGGTTATCTGCATCAAAGTCTACAGGAATAACAGGGGTTTGAGACAATGGCACACTTTGGATGATTTCCAAAATTCCAGATTCTTCAGTAGTAGCAGGATTAGTCAATCTCTTCCCTTCCAGAATTACAGCATCTCTGGAGACAACGACCTTTCCTGGATTCTTCGGATCAGTGAATTTCCAGGCCTTAGCCGTCTCACTGTACCCTATGAAGACCATGTCCTGGGCTTTCTCATCAAGCTTCTTCCTGCAACTCTTGGGAACATGGACAAGCGCAGGTGTACCAAAAGCACGAAGGTGATTAGCTCGAACTGGTCTGCCACTCCAAATTTCTTCAGGAATTTTCCCATCTAGGACTGTGGAAGGAGAGCGGTTTCTGGTGTACACAGCGGCCTTGGCAGCTTCACCCCAAAATCTCCTGTTAAGTCCAGAGTCAATCAACATACAGCGAGTCATCTCAAGTACCGTTCTGTTGGCTCGTTCAGCAGCACCATTCTGCTGCGGAGTATGAGGTGTGCTAGTTTGGTGAACGATACCACAGCTGGAGAGGTAGGCTTGGAACTCCTTCTTCACGTACTCTCCTCCATTGTCCGAGCGTAGGGACTTAATCTTGAGATTGGTCTGATTGTCCACCAGAACCTTGAACTCTTTGAACTTCTCTGCCAGTTGCGACTTCCTATGAAGAATGTAGATAAAGAGCTTTCGACTGTAGTCATCC